TTGCATTTGGACATGCACATTACACATCAAATTCAATTTTCAATAATTAAAAAGATAACCCTGGTTATCTTAAAACAAAACTTATGATGTAATTTGAGCTAAATTTTTAAAATTATGTCATTTAATATTCATAAAACAAACTGCAATTCAATCACATGACCACAACTGAAGCTGATGCTTATACAGGCCAATTTTTGTAGTCTGGTTTATGGACTTAGAATTTAAAAAAAATACATTCTTGTACATCTCAATTAAGCTTCATTGCAAGAAATAAAATTGGTATCCTACTGTATGACAGTCAAACAGAGGATGAGTTATTTTTAATATGAAGTATTTTATGATATTATAACACTGAATTGTAATTCATATTTTTTTTTTCAGGTTTATTTCATCTTGCAATACATTTTTATAATACGGTCCTAGAAACAGCACCCTCTATAGTTGGTGACAGAACATTTGATCTGCGTAGAGAAGCTGCGTTTAATCTATCGTTGATATACAGATCCAGTGGGAATGACGATCTAGCGAACCATATGTTGATGACACACATCGTGGTATGACACGCACAAGATGTTAAATGGTTTCAGTTTAAAAGACATTATGCACCCACATGGTTCAGTGGTTGAGCATTTACAGTAGCTTCCAATTTAGTGGATATCGTTCGAGCCAGAAGCTGGTCATAATTTATTTGTCTTTTGGTTACTGTCTGTTCATCCAGATGGTTGGTCCTTTGTTCATCCAGTTTTTTTAATGGTTGGTCCTTGATATCGTAGATTAATGTTTCAATGAAACATGTATGCAACAGTGGTATAAACAGTAGACTTACAGTCAAAGCAATGTAATGCATTGGGACTACATACAGGTGTCCCAAGTTGGAAGAAGTAATTTCCGGCAGATCTGTTATAAGCTTTCTCAGGACATCTAATTTTGTTTTGCTGCTTATGGTGATAACAAAAATAGACACTGACTTCTGTGAGACAAATGACAATAAAAGGTAATACAATAGTAAAAGCATGCAAATTTAATTAATTTGCTGGAGATGGGTTATTTTCCAGGACATTCTTGTCAGGGTGCAGGACGTCCTGATTTCCGGGAGAGACTTGCAATTTTCAGGAGACTTGGGACCCACATTATAGCAGTCTCAATGCTCTTTAAAAAAGAAAAGTGTATTCTTTTCAGATTTTGAATTGAATAAAAATACATTCTCGAATTGTGTCAAAGTGTCCACATTTGTTTGCATAACTGTAGTCATATTATAGAGTTAAACTGTGCATGTCTGACAGGGTAAAGAATGTTGCTACCCATCAAATCATCCAAGAGCCTCAGTAGTGTAGTTGTTTAGATTTTCTGGTGCAAATTAAGATTTTCCCCGACAGCAGAGCAAGAGTTGTACTTGGTGCAGTGAGATGTCCCCTTCCCAATGAGAAAATAACTTCCCCCGCCTTTCCTTTAAATCTTAAAAAAGATCAAAATTGTGGATTTTATGTGAAAGTATCCATTTTTTGGAAAGACTATCACTCTGTATTTCAGTTAATTTTGGTCACACAGAGTTTGTTTTGGTACCAAACTGTTCGGAAGGCCCATGTTTCTATTCACTATAATGGAACATTGCATGCTGGAAATGCCTCTTTAGTGTTCTGCCATCAGGCAGGTCCTTGGCTGCCAACTCCTCCACTTGCATCTGTCCTCTGCTCTTCTCTTCATTTCCACATAAAGCCTCTTAATCCTTTAAATCATCTATCATCCCTATCCTCTTTTTCCTCTTGGTCTTTTCCCTTCCATTCATCCCTCTATGATTTCTTTCAACAAACTCTCGCCCATTAAAACATGACCAATCCAATTATTTATTTTTTTTTTTTGCTGGAAATGCTACAATTCACCTTTGACCATATATTTACTGAATGTACAATCTTGATTTAGGTCCTAAATTATCCAAATATATGATTCTTTTAATCTGTTTTTATTTGCTCAAATGAAACATTTGCTACAAAGCCTGGTTGTTACATCTAGAACGTTTAGTATAATCAGGTGATGATGCGAGAGATCCGCTTTCTACGTAAATAAAAGTAATATGCAAGTTTTAATATAGCGCTGTACACAACAAAGCCTGAGAGCACATTTCCACATTATTACCCGTCAGTGCCTTGTTTAGTGCTTGCTGATAAACTAGTCAACACTGTAATTATTTTGTCCAACTACAATACAAAGGCTTATGTGCTGCAAGAACATTGCTAGTCATAAAGAAAGAAATACATTTCAATTTTTGCAGTATATATTTTATTATAAATGTAAAAAACATCAAACTCAAAATTCTGTTTTGTAATATAAAAGAAGTGTCTTCATCATATTCTTATATATTTATAAAATATTTTAAAAATTACTAAGAGTACGTTTTGTATAAAAATAACACTAAAAAGAAAAGATCAACGTTTCGACTCCTTCATGGTGTCATTTTCAAGATCAAATGATGAAGTAAAAAATATACAGCAACTATAATCAATAGAAAAAAGCTAATCTACAATGTCAAAGTTCATAACAGTGGGATATTAATCCCTGTGTTAGATAAAAAGCTTTGCTTTGACAGTGTCACCTTGTTTATTCAGACTGGGTTTTAATTGTCTAAGATTCTGTTACAACAACATGCTAAGGACCATCATATCAGCCCAAGCAGTATTGAGTCATGTTTCAGCATTTTAAAGAAATCGTCGCTCACATCACGAACTAACACAATTAAATTAGATTGTGTTAGTTCGTGAAATCAGAAAAAGCGCGTCAAAATACGCGCTGTTGTCGTTAAGGACTTTTTGTGTGGTAAAGAATACAAAATTGCTTGACAACCAATACGCGCTCGTTTTGACGCGCTACTGTGATTTCACGAACTAACACAATCTACTTTGATTGTGTTAGTTCGTGATGTGAGCGACGAAATGTAGGAACAAATTTGACTGTCTCATTATTACCCGTCAGTCAACACCGTAATTATTTTGTCCAACTACAGTACAAAGTACAAAGGCTTATGTAAGAACATTGCTAGTCATAAAGAAAAAAACCATTTGAATTTTTGCAGTATATATTATATTATAAATGTAAAAACATATCAAACTGTAATATAAAAGAAGTGTCTATCATATTCTTATATATTTATTAAATATAAAAAAATACAGATACAATAGAATTTTACAAATACTGTATATGAACATTAATTAAATAATGATTATAATGGTAAGTATGTAAATACAATTAATTATAACTTATGTTTAACTTATTATAATTGTTATGTACAGTATATACAATGTAAAGTTACTGATTTTAAGTACTTATTATGAATGTAAATTATATAAAAGGGTCATTCCATGCCAACTCAATAAATTTTCAGAAAATCTTGGCTGGGATTTTCTAGAAACTCGGACATAATGTGCAAAAACATGTCTAATGAACAAACCAATTCCAAGTCGTTTAGAACTACTACTTCATGGGACCCAGAATTTGCTGTCATCTTCCCACGGCCCAAGTTATTGAAATGTCGTCCACGATACAAAATATACAACCAATATAATACAGTACAACCCTACTTTGAGACACCCCTATTCAGGGGACACTTTTCTGTGAAAAGAGGGGAATTATATATTTTAATACTACAGCCAAATGGTCAAATCAATGCATATTCAGCCACTATTAAGGGAAACTGAACAGTATCGCAAAAACTCCAGCAGTCTAAAAAAAAAAATAAACACTAATATAAAGCTCAATATTTAAAAAAAAAAGAATATTTGGTCATTAAATTCGCATCACAAAATATGGGAACATAATAAGATACTACTATTATAGTTTTAATTACATTACTTCTGATTACATATTTAAATGAATTTTGCATTGCAAATTACTGATATAAATTAGTTATAATTCTAATGTAACTCATTTTTAGGTCAATAAAAATAAAATTACATAATTTTAAAAACATTACACCAACACCTATAAGGTTACAATTTCACACTTTTCTTTTATCCAATGAAGAAGATGTCCCCTTACAAGGCGTTTTACTGTATATTGAAGTACTGTAGTGTTTCGTAACAATATATTTTATAAAATATAATTTTAAGAAAATAATTACCTAGAGCAGCTTTCCAATTTTATTTTCATCATTGGTTGATTTCCATCATTTTAGTCTGACAGTGTTCATTCTAACATTAGTTGCTAGAACCTTTGTCTATAATGGCCACTAATTTAGTAGGTAATCTTAAAAAAATGTTTTGTTTTGATGTCTTTACAGAATAAATTTAATTTTTAACATTTAATAATTTGTTGCTTAAAACCCATTTAATAACTGATTTATGTATTTTAATGGACTTTCTTTGTTTTTAAAGGTATCTTTGATCATTAGAGTAAGAATGTTTTGATCTTTTGTTTAAATCACTGCTATGTCACCTACTAGATGTAATGTTTTGATTGGTTAAACACTTTTGGTACTAGTGCATATAAGCTTGCTATGGATAATTCTTTCATTCCTGATGATGACATAATTAATGTTGAAATATTGAATCCCAACACGATGGCATGTATTTCAATACTTGGAGTATTATACTTTCTTATGTCATTTATTGGTACTCTCCTATCATTGGTACCGTACCTCTTGTTTTTCATTGTTTTTTCCACAGTTTGCCAGTTTACAGATAATTCACTTTGGTGTCGGGCTTCAGCCCATTATTCTCTCTTGGCTAACTGTCTTATTTATATTGTTATGTCTCATTTGTATGAACATGCCCGAATTCATAAATAAATAAAAACCAAATGTCACTAAGATTATTACTACTAATATCAAGCTTCCATAATTCCAACTTGACACCTCTCCTAGAACACTTTCTAATCATATCATTTATAATATCACCAGACAAAGTGCAATTGCTCAGGTTAAGTATATTCAGTTTAGGTGTAATAATAAATAAAGATGAAAATGAAGAACCATCAATGTTACTGAGATTATTACCACTGATATCAGGCTCCCGTCCCAACTTGACTCCTCTACTTGAACACTCTCTAATCATATCATTTATAATATCACCAGACAAAGTGCAAATTGCTCAGGTTAAGCTTATTCAGTGTAGGTGTAATGATAAATTAAGATGCAAATGAAGAACCATCAATGTTACTGAGATTATTACTACTGATATCAAGGGACCCTAATTTCAACTTGACTCCTCTCATAGAACACTCTCTAATCATATCATTTATAATAGCACCAGACAAAGTGCAATTGCTCAGGTTAAGCATATTCAGTGTAGGTGTAATGATAAATAATGATGCAAATGAAGAACCATCAAAGTTACTGAGATTATTACTACTGATATCAAGGGACCCTAATTTCAACTTGACTCCTCTCATAGAACACTCTCTAATCATATCATTTATAATATCACCAGACAAAGTGCAATTGCTCAGGTTAAGCTCAATCAGGTTAGGTGTAATAATAAATAAGGATGAAAATGATGAACCATCAATATTACTGAGATTATTACTACTGATATCAAGGGTACTTAAGTCCAACTTGACTCCTCTACTTGAACACTCTCTAATCATATCATTTATAATATCACCAGACAAAGTGCAATTGCACAGGAAAAGCCTATTCAGTATAGGTGTAATAATAAATAATGATGCAAATGAAGAACCATCAAAGTTACTGAGATTATTACTACTGATATCAAGGTACTTTAATACCAACTTGACTCCTCTACTTGAACACTCTCTAATCATATCATTTATAATATCACCAGACAAAGTGCAATTGCACAGGAAAAGCCTATTCAGTATAGGTGTAATAATAAATAATGATGCAAATGAAGAACCATCAATGTTACTGAGATTATTATTACTGATATCAAGGGACCCTAATTCCAACTTGACTCCTCTACTTAAACACTCTCTAATCACATCATTTATAATATCACCAGACAAAGTGCAATTGCTCAGGTTAAGCACATTCAGTTTAGGTGTAATAAATAAGGATGCAAATGAAGAACCATCAATGTTACTGAGATTATTACCACTGATATCAATGGACAACCATATTTCCAACCTGACTCCTCTACTTGAACACTCTCTAATCATATCATTTATAATATCACCAGACAAAGTGCAATTGCTCAGGTTAAGGATATACAGTTTAGGTGTAATAATAAATAAGGATGCAAATGAAGAACCATCAATGTTACTGAGATTATTATTACTGATATCAAGGGTCCCTAATTCAAACTTGACTCCTCTACTTGAACACTCTCTAATCATATCATTTATAATATCACCAGACAAAGTGCAATTGCTCAGGTTAAGGATATTCAGTGTGGGTGCAATGAATAAGGATGAAAATAAAGAACCATCAATGTTACTGAGATTATTATTATTATTACTGATATCAAGCTTCCATAATTCCAACTTGACTCCTCTACTTGAACACTCTCTAATCATATCATTTATAATATCACCAGACAAAGTGCAATTGCTCAGGTTAAGCGTATTGAGTTGAGGTGTAATAATAAATAAGGATGAAAATGAAGAACCATCAATGTTACTGAGATTATTACTACTGATATCAAGGGTCCTTAATTTCAACTTGACTCCTCTACTTGAACACTCTCTAATCATATCATTTATAATAGCACCAGACAAAGTGCAATCCCTCAGGTCAAGAATTTCCTGTTCAGGTGTAATAAATAAGGATGCAAATAAAGAACCATCAATGTTACCAAGATTATTAGCACTGATAAGAAGTGTCTTCAATTTCAACTTGACTCCTCTACTTGAACACTCTCTAATCATATCATTTATAATATCACCAGACAAAGTGCAATTGCTCAGGTTCAGTCTATTCAGTTTAGGTGTAATGAATAAAGATGCAAATGAAGAACCATCAGTGTTACTGAGATTACCATCACAGATAGAAAGGTTCTCTAATTCCAACTTGACTCCTCTACTGGAAAACTCTCTAATCAAATCATTCATAGCACATGAAGCGTCTAAATTTAAATCAGTAAGTTGTGGTGCATTAGCTAACAGATGAACTGCACATGAAGTTGTAGTTATCCCTGACAAATAAGCGCATGTTATATTATATTTGAAATTCAGTTTCCGATACTCAGCTGTTAAGTATGAAACATCATCCGCAACACATATTCTACAAATTATTCCTCCAAATAAATACGTTTGCGCATCTTTTGACACAGCAGCAATCATTATGTGGGCAATCATTCTGAATTTTTCTTCAAAAGACTTTCCTCTAAAATAATGATCAATGTCAGTTACCACTTTTTCATTTAAACATCGATGTTTACATATACCTCCAATTTTTCTCATAAGTTGTATGAAATGCTCATTTTGATTGAGCTCTACATTGGGAATGATGTAACTGATAAATGTTCTTACTGATTTACAAATTCCATAAATATGTGGCTTTATTTCTAAATCTGTCATGGTCATGTGATCAATAACTGCCTTTTCTACTGTATCCATGTGCTCGTTTTTTACAAATTCTAAATACGTCATTAAAGAATGATATGTTGAGATATCATTAGTTATCCAATGACTCAAAAACATGGCAGACTTGGCACCCAGGAATTCAATTGTAAACACCCTTGCCATGTGAAAATATTCACTACTTCTTATCGTCTGCCATTCACTATCGGTCAATGGCTTAAGTAGTATTTCCCTGCCCTTTGAACACTCATTCTCCAACATTTCTGTCTGACATAGTTTGTATAAGTAAAACCCTACTAATGACTCTACTATCAACTTGTGAGGAGTCATAAAAATCTCCTTAAAATCTGATTTCTGATTTGGTGTATCTTCATACACAAATCCCAGTTTTAAAGCCAGTGCAACCATTTCTTGTGGTCCTTCCAAATCTCTTTTGTTAATTGAAAGTTGGTTTTTCTTTAAGCTTTCATAGAAACACTTTCCTAACAGGAGCATCGCCTTTACAAACTTCTCTGGAGTATTCTTAAATATTGAGATTTTTGGCTCTTTAGCTGCTTGTTTATCAATGAACTGATTCAAGATGCATCTAAAAATCTCTTTAAAGAGAACAGCTTTGTCAGCTGGAAGGTGTTTATTTTCTTCCCACATGATACATACTAACAGAAGCAACATTGGATTCTTGCACATACCATATACTTCCCTATGTTTTCCAGACAAGGGGCCTGTATCAAGTCTCAACGCCTCAATCAGCAATTCTCCTAATTCAGTGTTTCTAAAGAAAGCAAAGTGTTTCTTAATGTATTTGTTTATATTATCACAATCAAATCCCTTTACTTTCACATGTATGCTGCTATATTTAATGAACTCATTGAGGTTTTCAGATCGTGATGTAAGTATCACTTTACACTTGTACATTTTTTCATTTTTGAAAATGCATAATGGACTCTCACTACCACCTTTCAATTCATCCAATCCATCCAATAACAATATTATATCATTGTGTTTCCAAATAAATCGTTCTATTAATATACGATTTTGAGGGAGATTCGTTTCAAGATGAAAATTCTTAAGGTCTATTTGTTTTAAAATAGCATCCAAAATAGTTTCACCTACATCAATATCTCTGATGTTGACAAGAAACAGTATTTTGCCTTTGAAGGTTTCATCTGATTGCTCTGTGGACCATTTGTATGCTACATACCTGAGGAGGGTTGATTTGCCGATACCGCCCTCACCTTCTATTAGAACTTTACATGCAGGTGTTGATTTTATAATATCTAAAACCTCCTTCAAAGTTGTTGGCTTGGCATCTTCCTTCACTTGGTTTTTACCTTCTTTGAGTAGGTCGAGGTCAGTGAACATGTCAGCAATGTCTAAATGGTATGCAGTATTCCAAGTTGCTGGTGTAAACAATCTGTTAGTGCTGCACACTCTCTGTTGTCTACTTAGTAGATATTCTCTGATAATCTTGTCTGTAAAACAAATGTTTACATAAATTGTTGATCAACGAGTGACTTCAAATAGAATGGAGCTTAACAACTGCAGTAACATCTTCATTGTGAGTACAATAGAACCTCAATTTTTAAGTACGATACAGAATTGTTGCGCACGTAAATCTGGGGATTTGTAAAATCATGTTTTATGAATTATTATGTTATTATGAACTTAATCACAAATTTAACATAGATAAAACCTTTTATTTTAACAACAAAATGCCAAAGCAAAATACACTACAAAATAAACTTGGTTTAGGCCTAATGTATAAGCTATTTGTCAATGATTGTAGACTGTGAAGTTAAGAGACCTGTTTCATAACAGCAAAACAATAGTGTAAGTAGGCCTAGGCTATGTACAGTCATAGTACAATAGGCCTATTCAAATTTTTTTTTGGGGGGGGTGGGGGTTTGAGAGGAAAAAATTTTAATTTATTTTAACCCACATAGTAGATCCTAGTGTAGAATAGTCTTCCCTTTCCAGAGTCTTTATATAATTTTTAAGTCAATACACATATTTATCATATACATACTGTAATTATCAGAATAGGATAGGCCTATTTAGTATTCATTCAATGAATGGAATTGACTGAGAACATACAATAAATACAAAGTGTCCCATAGGCCTACATCGCGGTCGAATTTGTTCGGGGAGGCCTAAACGATCCTGGCTAGGCCTAAGCCTACACCAACTACCGCTGAGCATGTTTCCTGCTGGACCTCGTCGTGTAGGCTTCAAAACGTCAGATAACAAAACATTTTGCTCAATATGCACTTTCATATGGAAAGACTCCCGTCCATCCTATCTCTTATTAACTTCTGTAGACCTTTGCCTCCGATTTGAAGCAAAACAGCATTTTTGCCGACTTTTTTGGCAGATGCTTTTGCCTGACAATGTAACGTTGGTGGCATGCTCTATGATTGAAAAATTTTAAAAAATACGAAAATGATCTTTTTCTCTGTCATTTTTTTTGGCATTTGCGGGTCATATTCGACGTTTTTTTTTTTTGGCATGAAAAATCAGAAGCGGGCCAAAAATCATTGTCGGGTGGTGACGC